CATATTTAAGTATAGTTTCCGGAGCTTTTATAGCTTCCATATTAATGATCATCAGCTCAGGTTCATTTGTTTCATTTCATCAACTTCACTTTGTCCTTTTACAATATTTACGATTTTAGCATAAAAGGAAATGACATATCGATGGTTTCATTGCCGAGAAATAGTAGAAATATGTTAGATTAAATTGTGGATGTATTGCTAATTATTTTACATTCTTGGTATTAATATTTAATAATTGCGCGTCATTACTCTTAGCCCAAAATAGTAAAGATCATCGTTATCGTAATATATATCGAGAAAAATTTATTATAAGTGACATATATGAATTTTTAAAAAATATCCGTTAAACCGAATTTATATTAATATGAAAAATCCGTTAAATCCGTTAAACTGAAATAAAATTGTTATTATTATTATTATAGAAAAATTTGGGTTTGAAAATTTATCCGCTATACCGAGACTCTCTGTGTATGCCGATCTTTTTTTCAAAATAGTGAATTTTGCCTTTATTTTTTGTATGCCCTCCCTCCGGATAGTCTAGAGAAATTGATACTTTCACTTGACAAATCCATTTTCATAACCAATTATTAAAGTAATTCCAGATAAACTTATCTTTACGCATTTAGATTTATTATTATGGTGCACACCATCCATCTAATGGATAAAAAATTGTACTTATCACGTGATATACAGTCAAATCATCCTATCGCTTCAAAAATTACCACCACCACCACCATCATCATCATCATCACAATCACAATCTCAACGCATCATCGTCTCACAACTTGATGCGCCAATTGTAACAACCATCATATCTCTTTTGAGTGCCTAAAATTGCAATCAATTATCCTGCTAATTATGTTAATTGGCCAGCTGGTGCAGGAGTTAATTCTCATATAAAGACATAGATATTGCACTGTTGGAATGACTAAATGAATATCTATCCTCAAAAATGTACGGTGTATCCCAACAGACTAGGCTTGCACGATCCTGTAGAATTATCAATGGCAAGATCATTAGTGTCAAAGTGCATGGTGCTGTTGAATGTATCAACCCATCATGTATTTCATTCAACGCTATAAAGCCTCAGGATCCTCATTCAGAAACTGTAATTGCTATTTCTGGTGCATTAGGTTTCTTATTCCACTTTATCACCCTTTTCAAGAACTTATATACCTACATCAACCATTAAAACCGGTCAATATATACTAGACAACACTTCTTCAACACATTCTCAATATCGAAAAGATCCAACGGGAGTCCCTCCTAGTCTGGGAGATTTGACGAAGCAGTTTTGTCACTTGTTAAAATATAAAATATAAAAAAAGTGTAAATTATCAATCACAAAGTTGATCCAGCGATATCTTTTAATTCATGAAGGATCTCGTTTGTATTTAACGGTTTGGGTAAAGCCAAGCTACCAGAAACATCATCATGTGGTAATTATGGTAAGAAGGTACGTCCATTAAACGATTTGATGAATGATTTTATTATTTACTCAAGCAAGAAGGTTGTACAGGCGAGTATCTTTATTTAGAAAATTAAAATGGGTTAGAATAATGTGTGTTCAATAAAATCGGATGTTTTTTAATATGGAATGGTTTTAATCGTCAATGTACCGATTGATTGTGAATAATTCAAGTAATTCAAAAATAATCATTCATATTTTTTAACATAATCTTAAAACAATTGACCTAATAAAGGAAGAGTAAAACGGATATGATAATGATGGCAATGGCAAAAGTTCAATTAATATTAAAACTTGGATCCAAAAATCAGCGTGGATTTTTTCATAAAAACTAAAGCTACATATTATACAACTTAACAAATAATACATTAAACTTTTTTTTGCTACAAAATAATCATAATAATTTTAATTGAAAATTAATCACGAAAATTTGTGATTGATCGATTAGTAATAGTTGATTGACTATGTAAATGAACATTATTTATAATATATGAGAGATGTTAATTATGATGTTATAAATATAAAATGATGATAATAATGATAAATAATAATATGAATAATAAAATATATTGTTTTAATAATTGTATATATATATATATTGTATTAATTAATTAATTTAATCTATATTCCAAAGTCTAGGGGAAATACCTTTGTCCTCTTGGTGCTACTGGTACATCCTCATTTCCTAATCCTTGATCGAAAAATGCTGGATTAAAATGTGGTGCAGGATACCCTGCTCCTGGCCCTGTTGGTGCTAATTATCAATTAAAAAATAATTAGAAAAATTTATATAATGTTGTTTTATTTATTTTAAAAAAACTTACTAGCAAAATTACTCATACTACCACCGCCGCCGCCGCCGCCGCCGCCACCACCACTACCACCACTACCACCACCTATAAAATCCTCGCTGTAAGCACCACGCATCATACCACGACTCATCATTCTTTGTCTAGCTGCTGCCGCCGCCGCCGCTTGATTTTGCATAGCTGCTGCATTCATCATTCTACCACGTGCCATCATAAAAGATACGTCATTAGGTCCACCAAAGCTATTCATATAGCCAACTCTACCTGCTGCCGTTGCTCCTGTTCCGAAAGCGCCGGTACCATATGGTGACATATTTTGTGAAAAGAAATCTCTCGGGCCTGGAACCATTTGTCGATTTCTGAATGCTGCAGCTGATGAATTACGATTATGGAAATCCATTCCACCGCCTGTCGGTCTCATAATAGGACGAATTGGTAAATTTCCAGATGTTGCAGATCTTTGCTGTACTGATGGTTGTTGTTGACGAGAAGCTTTTGAAGGTGGTTCTATCAATAATATATTTTAGTGTAGGTGTAAGAACGGATACAAAGAACATGAATGTATGAATCTAGATATGCATATATTATAATAAAATACCTTTTGGGACAGTTTTGAAAGGATTACCATTTGCTGAACTTGTGAAATTTACCAAGCATTTTTTATCTGTGATTTCACTAAATATTTTAATTGATGGAATTATATGAATATAAGTTTATGTGTCAATAAGAAGTAATGTAAAATTTATTTATAACTCACACTTCTTCTAATCTCTCTTTAACTTTACTAGCAGCTTCCTCAGTTGTGAATTCTACATAAGCAACACTATTTAAAATAAATTATTGTTATTATTACTATTGTTTTTCAAAAAATATATATAGTATATTTTTGTATAATATTAATTGATCAATCACCCTCTTGATTTTCCATTAACCTTGTGTTCATAGAAAGTGATTTCTTTAACTTCAGATAAGACTCCAACATCACGCGCTATAGCACAAAGATCTTCATCAGTGGTCCACTATCATTTTTGTTATTATAATTGTTACCAAAAATAAAAATAAAAACAAGATATTTAATTAACTGATTGATTAATTTTATTAATTACCCAATTTAAATCGCCAATATATAATGCATTTGTAGCATTAGAAATAGTTTTACGATCCATCATGCTTTGACTTCCATTACTAGTAGTTGATGAAGCACGTTGTAGACTTTGTGTTTGACCTAAAGATTTAAAATTTTCCCGGTTTTTTTAAACCAAGTTAATAAATATCAATAATGCATATTATCCATCCATCCATCCATCCATCCCCTTCTTTTATTTTTGATTTATTATTACCTTCAGTTGCATTAATATTGGCATTATCACTACCAAGATTTTTATTATCCTCATCAGTATTTTCCAATTTAACTTCGTATCCCTGTTGATTTTAAATCAAATAAAAAAGAGATAGGAGGGAGGATGGGCAATGAGTGAGAGAAAAAAATTTCCCATAATAAACACCGTAATAAATTATGATGACGATGAAATTTTTTTTAAATCCCCCCAAATATATATATATATATATAGAAAAAAAAAAAGAAATTCGGTAAGTTTAATGCTATGAAATTTTATTTTTCTTATCCTTTTTTCCCTTTTTTCCAAATTATTAAATTATTGATTCTTTCCTTTTTTTTTTTTTTTTTTTTTTTTTTTTACATTTTATACAATTGTATCTTATATACATCCACACACATATATATCAACACATATGTTATTTACAAATTCAATAAAAATTTACTTTCCTTTTTTTTTTTAGCAAAATAATTTTAAAAAAAAAAAATAATAATTATAAATAATCACAAAAAAAAAAAAAAAAAAAATTAATTAAATAATTAAAAAAAATCACTTGTAATAAAATAAATACATCATAACGCGGTCTATATAATTAATGAATATAAAAACAATGATAAAAACACAAAAATAATATAATTTACAACAACAACAACAATAATGATGATGATAATATTAATTAAAAGAAACATCATAAAGACTGCGTTATGAAATAATCACGAACCTTTTCACCTTCCATAAAATCTCCAAATAAGTCATCCTCGCCAACTTTATGATGATGTTGTTGTTGTTGACGCTGTTGCTGTCGGTTTTGATGATTATGATTATGTTGGATATCATCATGATCAGAAGTTTCATAATCCAGATCAGCTTCTCTTCTTGTTCGCTTCAAAGGACGTACAGTTTCTTCCAAATTTAAAGTATCTGGGTACAAGTCTTGACTCTTTTATTTTAATAAATATTGGTTTTAGGTTTTGATTTTTTAAAAAATGAGATTAAATATAATAATGGTAATAATAATATTTGTTACTATTCTTCTTTACCGTTAATATAATATAACTATAACATTAAACAATAAAATAAAATGTAGAGTAATATCTTGAACATACTGTATTTTCATTATCACCAAAATTATCATCATTATATATATCAAATTCATCAGACATTATTAAAATTAATTGTTGTTGTTGTTTTTTTTATAACTATTAAAAGGTTTTCTTGGTAAAATTTAAAAATCAAAATATTTATTTTGTAATATATTTATAGCATATAACTAAAAATATTAAATTTTTTTGGAGAAAGAAATCTACATAAATGTATAAATATAAAAAAAAAAAGATATTAATTAATCTGTTTATTTATTTAATATGTTATTATAATTACAGAATCTTCTTTTTTTTTTAATATTAGAATGCATACAAAACAAAATCACCCTTCTAAACTATTTTCTTCAATTAATTGTGTGATAATAGTGTAGTAACAGTAGTAATAGTAATAATAATAACAAAAAGACAAATAATAATAAAAATAATTTCTAATCAAAAAGTACATACTTTTATATTTCAATGATTAAACAACTTTTGGTTGACTTGTAAATATTATCGTTGAATTATTTATTTAAAAAGAAAAAAATTACACTTGAGAATTTTCCAAAAAAAAATAATAAAATTTACTTATTATTGTTATTATTAATATTAAAAGAAAAGAAGGGTGGTAATACTAATACTAAGCAATTAAGGAATTCTCCACTCACACGGACGGATATAAATTTTTTTGATTGGCTCAATATATCACGGAATTTTTATTTTGATCTTATCAATAATAATAAATAAATAATAATGATTAAAATCTTTAGAGTTTGAATCGAGCAAACTAGTTTTAGTGGAACAAGAATCAAGAAAAAAAAAGACTAGCTTTATTAACAAAAAGTCAACTTTTCTAATCACCAAATTTCCTCGAAGCACTGACTGATATTCAAAGAAAAAAAATTATTGCTATGCATCGTAAGGAAAATTTTACGTTGCTTGTGTGCTCAAATTCCCCAATTTGCTTCATCTCTGTTTTTTTTTTTAATCAATATCCAGCACAACTTTTTGTCAAGCATTTCCATTTTGATTTTTTTTTCGTGACAATTTATTCTGATAAATAATATGATCCTAAACCATTCTTGAAATGGTTCTCATTTTTAACAATAATAATACAAACGTACGTACTAATAATTTTTATAAATATTTCCCACAAAAAGGTAGTGGTAGTAATATCAAAATATATCTTTATATAAAACATCAGACTTTTTACTCTATTGATTTTTTCAAGCAAAGATACTTTTAAAACAGATAATCTTGGTTTATTACTATCAAATGAAAAACATTAAATATGATGATATCAACTCCAGATAAAAATCGGAGAGATATCATATATGATAAATAAATATTAATATAAATATAAATAATAATAGTAGCAATAATAATTGTTCGATAAAATTCCCAAAATTTCCAGGAAATCTAGCTTTTTGACTGTAAAAAACCAGTGATTTTGGCATTATTATTAGGGTTGTCTCCTATCTTAGAATCATTCATTCTAGACCTTCTAATAAATAAGACAACCCCAGCAATTAAAGCAACGACCAAGACTGCACCTGCAACTAATCCAACAATCATAGCTATTGGAGTTTTTGTTTGCGGTTTAGCGGTCTTGGTGGTGTTTATCTCTTCTGGTGAAGGAGGAACATATGTGTCCACCCATTTATAATTATTTTTATCAGCAATGCTTAATATTAAAATACCTTGAACAAATTCAGAAGTATAAGAACCCCCAATCTGACCTATTATTGTTGTTGATTAAATATGATTACTATTATTAATATATTTTAAAACATATGACTTTATATGGATGTATTAAATTTATCATTAGTTACCAAATGAGATTATCATATAATTTCCATACAAATTTGAAGTATGACCACGATGATTACCATCAATTGGATAAACCATATTTTTTGGAGTTGTCCATACAAAAGATTCTGTATCTAAGATTACCAATTTATTTGGACTTTGAGTACCACCATAAACAATTAATCTTCCATCAGGAGCTAAAAAACAAAATATACATATATATATATTAGAAAATTATTAATTAAATAATTACATTTATAACAGTAGTAGCATTAGTTGTAATCAATTTTCACCTAATACTGAAGAAAACCCATCTCTTGCAGCTAGATCACCACCACTTGTCGCCTAATATAACAAAAAAATCTATTAATATTCTTTATCATTGAACATATAATTGTAAATAATAATAATAATAATAATAATAATAATAATAATACTTACAACTTCAGACCATTTATCTTGTCTAATATCATACAGATATACCTAAGTTTTGTATACCAATCATAATTAATAACCACATTCATATCATTTTAAACAAATGTTATTGTTACAATTACTGTTACAACGATAATAATTAATACCTTAGAAAGAGTCCCTTTTATATAAATCATACTTTCATCGGTCAATAGATGAGAGGTGGTGTAAGATGATAAAAATACATCAACAATCTTTACTGATACAAGTGTCAAATCGTTGGTATTGAATTTAAATATGGTATCATCATAAAAACTTGTTATATAAGTATTTCCATTACTATCACTTGTGTATGTTGCAGAACTTATAGAATTAGTCTTTAATTCTGATTGTCCATCAAAGTTTTCAGGAGTCCATGTATCAAACGAAGCTATATTTATTGAATAGATTTCAGATCCATTTTCCATATAAGAATATCTTTGGCCACCTAAAATATAAAGCTTGTCTGTTCCTAATGCCAGTGATGCTTTTTGAAATCTTGGCACTGGTAATTCTGACTTTAGAATAAGTTCTTTTATTGGTGATTCTGTCTGATTGAGTGATGTGAGTGAAAACTGTTTAGATAAATCTAGACTGAATGTTTGATTCGTGTATTCAGATCTATTATTAGTTCCTCCAAGAAAATAGAGTTTATCATTTATTATGATTGAACTTTGATATGTTAATTTCAATGATTGAACAGATACCAAATATCTGCAACTATCCAAAATCAATAAACTAAAAATGATTAATTTAAGTTTCAATAAACAATTATGATTTATTAAGTTAACCATTTTTAAAAAATAAAATAAGTTGTGAAATAGAGAAACTCGATTTTTTCTTATGACCGTTCATTTTTATATCAACTATTTGTTTTCTCAAAAAATCACAAAATTAATGAATTCTAAATAATGGCACAAAATTAATGATCATGTTCTAAAACACTTTCCATGCTTTAATGAAATCCTTTATTGTTCTGTCGTTTTTGCTCTGCTCGTGATTCTAATCTGGCTAGTGATACGTTTCTCCAATATTATTATTTTCTCTCGTGCTCTCTTTGGCATCATTATTCAAATTCTAAATTGCATTGTTTTTGCAGATCCAAAATTACACAACTTTGCAATTGGTAATTCGAAAATAACACCAATAGTAGGCCAACTCGGACTAGATTTATGCATAACAAACAAAAAAACAAACAATAAAAAATTAAAATTAGACAACTTTCGTGTTTATCTTGTACATATAATCCGATTTTTGAAATGATAAAATACCGAATTTATAGTAAAAAAATCTAATCAATAGTTAGTTGGTCAGTTGATTATGTTTAACGAACGATTCAACCAGATAAATATTCTAAATATTTTAAGAGAAGATCTTGCAGAATCGTTCGTTTTATAAATTTTGATTTATACATAGTTGTTGTTTCTGATAATAGCTTTATTATTGTTATCCATAAAAAAACCGAATTTAATATTTACAAGTAATTTATTGATAATTAATTCGTTCTTTTCTTTTTACAAAAGTACCGAGCCATATATTCGCCATTACAAAACATGCGAGAACTAAATATAGCTCAAGTTATGACAAACACATACGCATAGTGACAGGTTTATATACACCCAATTTATACCATCATTTACGATTTCGCACTATGCGAAATATTTTAATGAAATATTCTATTATTCAATTGTTTATTAAGGAGAGACCAATGTCATATGATAATAGAAGGAGATGATAGATAAAGGTTAAGAGTTCCATTTTTGGTTTGAAGAATTGTAATTATTGCATTCTTAAATTCCTCAATAAAGAATTTCTCCTCTCCACTCTGATCTCCTTTTTCTAACTCGGCCAAGTAATTCCTATTTTATTTCTTGATTTATGAAATTCATCAAAGGTGGATATTTTCCTCTGTTATCTTTACAACTTTTATTATTTTTAATGTTTCAAGCAATTCAGACAATAACCATCAAATTACAATTTAAATTGTAAGTTCAAACAAAATGTTCTAATCATTGAATGTTTCTATATTCTTTTTTTAAAATTAGGCGATTATATATGCTCATTAATCTAAAGTCTAGTTGTTTAACAAAACTCACAACGGTGGTTTTCTTTTATTAATAATAAACAATTGATTATAATCAATTTAGTTACGGTTTTCAAAATTGGGATATTCATATTATAAACAAGAATAAAATGATATATAGTCACTTTCAAAATATTAAAATCTCAAGAAAGTTATTGATAAATAGTCACAACTTAAAAATTTCACAATGCAAGTATTTAAATTCCTTTACATTATGACTAAAAGTATGTACATTGTGATAAATTAATAATTGATTTCTAAACACTCTATTAGGAACTTTTGATAATGATGATAAAATATAAAATAACTATTTAATATATATGGTTATCGTATAATTACTAACGATAGAATCCTATGCACGAGTTGTTAATTCTCTGGGAGTAAGTTTGATGTTTAAATCTTTACAGATGGTGATTGTTGATGTTGCAAGTTTAAGGGGAGCCTTCATATCTACCAATTCAACATCAAATTTTCTGTAAACTAAAGTCAGCAATGTTTTTAATTCAATCATTGCAACTTTTCTACCTAGACACATTCTTGGACCTCCACCAAACATTAAAAATGAATTTTTATGCTGATTTGCAATCTGTTCAGGATCATAAAATCTTTCTGGCATGAATTTTTCGGGATCTTTCCAATAAAGTGTGTTATTGTTGATTCCACGAACATACATTATGAATAATGTTTTGCTTGGCCATTTGTATCCTGCTATTTCGTCTGGTTTATCACTGTATCTTGAAATCATACTAACTGTGGGTCTTATTCTTGATGTTTCTTTAATTATTGCTTCACAGTATTTTAATTTTTCAAGATCTGTTGTTGTTACTTCTCTGGTTGGATCATCCTTGAAGACTGAATCGATTTCCTCAAACAGTTTCTTTTTGACTTCTGGATAATGTGAAATGTAATATACTACGAAACAAAAAGTATTCACAGTCTAGAAATACAAAAAAAATATATCGTTATAACGTTTAAAAAAAAAAAAAAATTTAATATCTTATGACGTATATTACATTACATAATACGTACCGTATCTGTGCCAGCCACAAAAGCATCAAACATAACACCACGTATTTCATCATCAGTCATCGGCCTTAATAACTCTGGATTGACATTTTTTTGAGGCCGAGTGTCATATGGAGTATTAACAACAATCAAAGAGGTTAATAGATCAAGTTGTTTTGTTTTAAGATAATCATTATCATTATTAATATTTTTTTCAAGTTCTTTTCTTCTTTTTATGACAATATTTTTCAATCTTCCATAAAACATATAATTATTGGTCAACAATTTCTCCACACGAGTTTTAATAAAAGGTAAATCTTTTATCATTTTTGGTACAAACATGATTTGATTATCTGACACAAAAGTGTTTATACTTTCAATAAATTCTTCGGATTCAATCATCTCTTTTGTGGGCGCTTCATTTTTTAATTTACGATAATAATAATGGATTGTAGAAGACTGCTTCTCGGTTGTCAAGAGGGATATAAAATCACATGTAAATCGACGCATCCAAGTAGCTATATTAACAACTGCTGAAACATCATCTTTTGGTTTCAAATCCATCCAATAGCCTGACATTTCTTCAAATAGGGCATTTGCATATTTGCTAGGCTTGGGAGTAAAGGATAATGGCATAACTCCCTGCGAAAACATACTGCTATTAAATTTCCAATGATTGAAATCATGATTAAGTCCTACTCCTTTGTTTTCAAGATCAAATAAATCTAAAAGACCGTTATTAGCAGTTCTCATTAAATGACCACTATGAATAGATGATACCAAAAATTTATCTATATGTTCAGCACGAGTGATTACTATTTGTCTATTGCCGGCAATATTTACTTCGTATATACCCTCTTTGCCATATCCTTTATTTAATTCATGAAACCAATCATCGAGATCTTCTTTAAAAATCGCAATACTTCCTATTAGCGGAATTGGTATTGGACCAGGAAGTGGATTGACACGAGTAAAATATTTATAGTAGAAATGAATTATGTATAAAGATATTATAGAGAATAATGCAATACAAATATCGGCAAATTTAATATCACTAAAACTTGTATATAATGATAAACCCATGATTAACGATTTGTGATTTTTTTTTTTTAATATGTTGTTGGGATAAGTGTGTTTTGTAAAGGAAAATGTGTTTTGTAAAGGAAAGTATGTTTTGTAAAGGAAAGTATTTTTTGTAAAGGAATTGATTTGTTACGTAAAGGAATTGATTTGTTTTAAACAAGAAGTTTTATTTTCGCGATAATTTCGTTCCTTTATATACAGAAAAAACATGATGTACAATTTATTAATCTCCAACTCGCATGATTTCGGATAATAAAGAGGCTTTTCATTTGAATGAAATGATAGGTCGATCTTTTTATTATTAATCAAAAATTCTGGATTAATAAGGTCCTTCTGACCAAACATCAAATATCAACAATTATCCCTTTTTGTTGAATAAACAGTAACGATGAAACATACTCCAACTTTACATAATATGTAAAAACTTTACATTATAATAGTGTTGCAACATAATCACGATACAGTTAGACCAATTTTCTATTCATATTTATATTGTCTCACTATTAAAAATATATATCAAAAAATGAGAAAGGGATCAATGAGACGTGACCAGAACAAAATTGGAAAAAACAAAAATATCTGCATGTTTAATTCGTGTCTCGCCGATCATGTGTAGAAATCTATTATAAAATTGCAGATATAATTAACATAGTAAAATTGACGAAAATCTGCCATTACATTGCATCCAAGTTTGCTAAAAAAAAATTTTTTTTTCATGACTTTATTTGGTAGAATAAATCTCAAAGATTCCAAAAATATATATAAAAAAAAGTATTATAACTTTTTGCTTTTTCTAACTTTTATATTGGGCATCGCCAGATTCCAAGGATTTTACATATAAAATTGAAATATTAAAAAGCATAGATAAAAAAATTTATTTTTTGTTTGTACTAAACATATAGAATATGGTTTTTTATTACGAAAAAACCTTTTAAACAATAAACTTTCTGCCTAAAGCTTAGTTTTTTTATATTTAATATAAATATGTCGGTCAATTATCTTTTTATTCTTTTATTATTATCAGAATCCATTTTTTTATTAAAGCTCTTATTATTTGTTTTAAATAATATCCATGTGTGTGTTGATATGCGTTGTGGTTTTAATTATAGGGAGGCGTGAGATTCCATTTTGAGCGAAAATTATATATATATATAACTTTATCTCTGCAGATCATTAATAGATTTCTATACAAACACGAATTAATCATTAATTCGTGATATGTGAGACAACTGCAAATTTTTCATAATAGAGTTTGGCGCGAATTTTCGCAGATCACTAATTGAAATTTTCCGGAACCTATACTTCATTCCCGCTTATACGAATTTATAAATTGTATTTGCAATTGTAACGAATAATAAGAATCCCAAAGTTTCAATATACAAATTTTTAAAGGGAATTTCTTATAAAATATTTTATATTTATATGTAGGTAACGTTGGATTCTTGCCTAAAATTGCTATATAAAACTTGAGATTCAAGTATAATATTTAATTATTTATTCAAGAAAAAGAACTATAAATAGACGTTTGCATTTAGTTTTATTAAAAAAAAAAAAAAGAAATGTTTGGTTACTTTGAAACGTTAATTCGTGGTCCGTCGAAACTCACTAATAAAAACTGGACGATCGACATATATAAATTTAAAAAAACGTATCGAGTGACAGAAGTTGCATACTATGGAATTTTGTACTTTCGTTATGCAAAGCCACATAAAATCATGTAACTTTGTAGATAGGAACTTGGTTTTTTTCAAAAATGTAAAATTTCTCTTTTCTTATAATAAATAGTTTACTCTTGGGCAGCTGTGGATTCCACGCAAAATACATATATGAATTTTATTCATATAATTATCAGTTTTTTAATTGTTCTTTTGAATTAAATATATTTTTGACTAATCTCAATTCATTATCAGTTAATTGTGACTTGTCTGTTTGTTGTTCAAAGTATAATTTTGATTTTTTCTATCGATAACAAAGCATTTTTATGTAATACAGGTGAAGTAGAAAGAATTATTTCAGGCATATTATTTCATTTTATTTGACAAAAGTGATGTGTATGTGTAAATAATCAATTAGCAAACATATAATTTGTTGGTCAGTCTTGTCTCTGTCAATAATAACAACAATAACAAATAATAATAGTAAAAAAAAGAAGAATAATAAATTTTTTAAAAATTTTTTTCAATAATAAATAAGTTTATGTTTCACGGGTTCGTTATAAAGAGCATTATTTATTATATAAATTTGTATTTGGTTCCCCCAAAGACAGTTCGTTATACGGAATAGAGAATTCAACTATAAAGTTCGTTATATAGAGCAAATTTCATTAATAAAAAATCGGGACCAAAATCTTAGTTCGTTATAGGGAGCTTTGACTGTATTTTGAATCTCACGACCAAATTTGGTAATGATTTTCTTTTAATGTTGAACTTTTTTGTTGTAAAGAACTTTTATTTATTAATAAAAAAAAGTCAAATGAATCAAATGTATGTTGTAGAAGATATTCTATGAAAAAAAAAAGTTGTTGCACGAAATTTATTTAGTCTCAATTTCTTAAGTGTATAACAAAATTCGGAATTTTCAATTTAAGGAAAAACCAGCCGATAAGTTTTGAAGCTTGAGTCATGAACAATAAAACTTATCGGTTAAATTTTTTAAAATGATATAATATTTTTTTTGTTTTAGTATTTTGAAGTTGACCAATTGTTATTATAAGCAATTAATGATCTGAACACCGTATCGTTGACCAATTAAGAATTTTTAAATTTTTATGTCGCATAATTATGCTTAATCACGTGAGAGACGGTCATATTCCAAAAATTCAAAAAAAATAAATTATATCGCCACAAAATTATATTAATGATCGGCAAAATTTTGCAGTTGTCTCACGGAGCACGAATTAAAATAATAATAAATAAATTTTCCATTTGAACAAATATTAGAGTTTCTATTCGTAAAGCAAATTCTTATTCGAATTTTTCGCTTCTTCGAATATTTGTTTTATTTGATTATTCGAATTCGAATTCGAATTATTCGTTTTATTCGTTTATTCGATTCGAATCACACAGTGAGTCTCGATTTAGCGGATTTAGGGATAAAGTTTCAGGCTAAATTTTCTTATAATAATAATTATTTTATCTTGATATTGATTTAACAGATTTAATTGATTTTCGTATACATTCAATTTACCTTAAAATCCATATCAGATATGTGTCGTTTGATATAACGGATAATGATGATCCTTGCTATCTTTTGGCTATTATAAGATAATTGCAGTATTATTACATACAATGTATGTTAACACGTTATTGTATTATAATACGTCATTGTATGATAGTTAATTAACGTAAATAAGAGGTGTGTAAAACAGGGTTGGCAAATTGACTATATAGTACATTGAGAGCCATTAATAATTTAACTAAATATGGCTAAATGTTAAATAATGGAACCAATGGATCCATATCATAGTAAAATCGTGCAACTTCAACCACTAAGGCTTTTTTTTTGTGTCTTTAGATAACTGCACCATATAACTAGAAAAGTAAGGATCACGATCCATTACATAAATATTTATAACAAATATTACAACATTGCGGTTAGTTGCAACACCGTAATACCGTAATTTTACATTGCGGGTGCTAACTTTATGAATTACTCATGGTGTCATTCACTTTTTTAAAGCTTCATATGATATGTATGTTCAAATAATCTTCAAATGCGCGCTGAAAATAGTCAAATAGAAGCTTCTTTTCAACAAATCTCTAACAACTTAAATCATGGGTATCTAGATTTAATCAACGTCACAAAAAAACAACAACACTTCTATTCACAACACGATTTCTTGTTCAATCTTAAACTAATGATTCGAATAAAAATTTGATTTGTTTCATTTGTTTGTTCAACTCGCTCTTTCAGATATGCTTAAGCAGTTAACCCATATTTCAATTATTACATTGAACCTCTGGACACCATATACAAGGACTATGAAGGAAAAATAGATTGATATATTATTTATTCGAATTATTAGTTTTATTCGAATAAACTTTCAATGTAATTTGAATACTCCAACCCACAACGAATAAAACAAATAATTCGAATAAACCTTATTGGAATAAAAATCCTACTATTACATACAGTCTAAGCTCTCTATACCGAACCCCCTGTCCATATATGTAATTTTCTGCTTTTGTTCATTATATAGAGAGAAATTAATTAATAAAAAATTGTATCGGAAGTTCGTTATAGAGGTTTGGTATAGAGAGCTTAGACTGTACAGTAGAAAAATTTTTTGATCGATATTTTTTGAAGATTTTCGATAAATTTTTCCTAAACCAGACACCTGGCACACATAGATTAAATTTTTTATGCAAAGTTAAAAGTTAAAAAACATTCATTAAAAATGTCGAAAGATAAAAGCGAAAATTTTTTAAAAAAAGACATCACAATTACTATTTCGCCATTAGCAATATTAGCAGTTATATTGTCAATACTGATATATAATTATAATAATAATGATTTTTATAAAAATCAAGAAGAAATTTGTGATATTTCTACTGTAGGTGGAGGTAACAAGTATCAATGGATTTCTACTCGTGAAAATGATAAAAGAACAAATTACACACATTTAGATAATGGCGCATTTGTATACAAACATATTTATTTGGATGAATTTGAACAAGAATTTAATATTCAACCTTTATATTATATGGTTAATTAATTTTTATTATCATTATCAGTTATTATTAAGATCAATGAGTTATTTATATCTAATGAATTATTTCTTGATTATTATTAATAATAAAGGTTGTGGATCCATTAGTTGAAGAACTCTTGGATAAACACAATCTTTCAGCTCGTCTAAATAATGTTACAGATATTGATCGCAATTTTATTGCTGAAAGATTTGTGAAAAGTAAAGAATATTCACCATATCTTAAAGATCTCAAGGAAAAGGTCGAGCGAGGCGATAGAGATATCGATGATGGAAGAGTTTATATACGTTGGGTTAATGATCATGTTAGATATGGGATGTTTGCTGGTAAAGACTTTGAAAAAAATGACATTATTGGACTTTACACTGGTAAGTTATTATATATGATTGAATCACCATTAGATGAGCGGAGTTGTGGGCGAGTGTATCAATGAATTAATATATTTTAATAAATTAGGATATATTACCAAGAACATTAGCGATTATGAATATGGTAAGTTTTCAAGTATGATGATGAGCTGAATAATTATGTGTCAAAGTATTATAACATTTTAAATTGCATAAAATCATATGATAGCTTGGGAATATAATTATATTGTTAATGTACTGGATGAAAATAATGCAAAAGTTGGAGTTTGTATCGATGCAAAATACCGAGGGAATTATATGAGATTTGCAAATCATCGTGACAGTAAGTAAATCATGATCATAATCATTTTCTCTTGTTCATCTTTCTACATTTTCCAACATATTATATTTTCATTGATATTTTAGATAACCCAAATGGGGATCAATTCTATACTATTTATGATGATAAATGGCATGTTCTTTATATTGCTCAAACAAGTATTAAAGTACGATCTTTTCTAATTATTTAATTACCATTATTATTGATTATCTCTAATAACTTTGTTAATTATTAAAGGCTCATGAACAAGTACTTGTTAATTATGGTAAAGCTTATTGGAAGGATAAGAAGAAATATGATTTATAATAATGTATATATATATATATATATATATATATATATATATATATATAATTCCTCTTACCTTACTCTTTCTTCCACCTTCTCTTTCATCACGGCTTTTTTTTAATAACTTTTTGAACCTTGGATTCTTGTCCAGAATCTTTAATCACATACAACACCATAATAATAAAACAATTGGTATACACCACAATTTTTCTTCAATTCTTATTAAATTTTCATTATCATAGTCGTTAACATTATAATCATTTTCTTCTTTTTTATTCTGACTACTCTGATTCTGACTATTGCTGACAGATAATAGAATTGGTATGATTGATATAAAAAGTGATGAATAAATTTTATAAATTATATTATTATCTTTAGTTGATTCCTGCAACAATAATAGATATATTATTGAATGGTTGGAGCTGTTGAGAGTAGAGTTGATATTTTCGGATATAGAATATTGGGATAGGTTTTTTCTGATGTTGGTAATTGAATTACTAATAATCGAGAAGTTGGTTTTGATGATATTGTTAGTGGTGATGTCAAATAATATTGATAGATCAATGATATTAGTGATATAAATCTCTTCTGAACTTACAGAATTGTTACTAACAGAGCAAAGAATATCACTTCTACATGTAATTAATTATCAATGTTATTTACAACAAATCGGCCAAAAAATAATACTTTTCTCAAACTAATGATGATAGCCGAACAAATCCGAAATAGTTTCGCCCACAGAAGTACAAAACTTAATAAATTGTAGGTGAAACTTGTTAACGAAGCGCCGTCCAATCGTATGTCGGACATGTGACCTAGTCCCTCGTTTTAATCATATTTTTATTATTTATTTTTTTATTTCTTATACAGTCATAACTCGTTAAACCGAAGTCGATGTTTTCACAATAACAAAAAAAATTCCCGGTTTAAAAAACCTTAATAAAATCGGCTTATAGAGTAATAGGTAGATAATAGAAAAACGTCAGTTTATCGTGTATATTCGTTTTATCAAAGCATCGTCTTAACAAATTTTGACTGTATACAGTCAAACCTTGTCAACGCGACATATAAGAAGTTTTATTTTATATGTTTTTATATCAGGAATGTAAAGTGGAAGCAAAAATTTTAAAAAGTCCACTATGACACGACAAGAAATTAATTATAGTTGCTGTGACAATGTTTGGCTGTACTGTATATATTATTAATATAAAGTCATTCTTTGACCAAGTGAATTTTTTTTATCGATCAAATTATTAATTAATCTCAAAGTCTTGCTTGAGAGTAGAAGCAGAAAAGTTAATATAACCAATAATTCCTTTGCAAATAATTCGTTTTGTATTATAATAATCACTTTCGAGTACGTAGTTAAAATTGCCTAATGCCCAAATTATGGGTTAGTTTCGGCTACACACAAAAGATATGCGGAATCAAGAAAAATAAAGCAAAGGAGTATGTAAACGAGTAATAGATTAGATAGTAATAATAAGTAATAGCAGTAGTAATAATAGTAATTGCAGTAAAACCTTGTTCAACAGCTTATTCAAGTAGTGAATTGTTATTTCACTTGATTGTTTTTTCATTTTCTTTACATCTCTCAGTATTTTTGAATAATTTGCCTCAAACGGTAGGTAGATCAAGGGTTAAAAAATTTGCTTACGTAAGATTCAAAATTTGGCGCCAAAGTATTTAGATTTATTTTATCTAAATATAATTTATAAAATTCTACAAAAAAAAAAAAAAAAAATGGAAGAAAGGAAAGTATTAATGATAATTAATAAATTAAGATTTTAATAATAATAATGGTTTTATTTTTATTATTACTATTATGCATAATTAGAACTTATAATATTCTTGTGGCAGCTGAGGCATCAACCATTTCATTTAATGCAATCAATTATGCATTTGATCTATGTTCACATTTATCTAAACCATATTCATTGAAAATAATATATATTATTGCATTGAATCCTGAAACACATGTACCATTCTTGTAAGTTTTAAAATCAATATTAATTATTAATATTGATTACTATTAATAATGTTATTTATTATAGATGTAATTTGGATAAAGCAAACAATATTGACATTCTTTCAGATGCAAAAGAAACAATAAATAAATTAAAAGACTATTTAAAAAATTTTGATAAAACCATGGTAAGCCATTATATTATATATTGTTTAGATGCTTTATAATATATTTTATATGCATTATTTATCTGATTTATTATTATTAGCCAAAAGTGAAATATGAATTTATTGAATATGAAGAACATGGAACTGTAGGAGAAGTTATAAAAGAATATATTAACAAGAAAGAACCAAATTTAGACGCTTTAATTATTGGATCAAGAAATCTTGATGGGTTCAAAAAGGTTTTTTGTTTGTTTGTCAATTTAATTAAATATTTTCAAAATAATCTTGATTCTAATTTCTTCAATTTTTTAGATGGTTTTGAGTTCTACTAGTGATTATTTAGTAAAACATATTAAATGTCCAGTAACAATTGTTAAATCTTAAAGATAATAATTGTATCAATCAATAAAAAATAACAATATTATCCAGGTTGAGTTAAATATTGATAGATTTATTGGATTGTTTTCTAATTTAAATGATAATGATAATAAATTGGAAAATGATAATGAAAATAATAGTGCTGAAAAGAAACAATTTTTAATCAGGAATTTACCTGGTAAATAACATTAAATTTATAATCCTTTCACTTCTGAAGTTCAAAAATTTATCATTAAAAAATGTTTAAAAGATTGATATTGTATTTGGGAACCTACATAAAAAAATTTTAATAAAGATTATGATGATGATAAGAATGAGGAAAACATCAACATCCTCATCAAAATTCTTAAAAGTCAATAACAAATACAATGGCTACTCCTTACTAAGCCGGTTTCAATATCGTCATAACATTCATTTTTGGTAATTTATGTTGAATAATTTTACTTTATCTTTAATCTTCAGAATTCGTGACCACTCAACATTTGTCTAATTTTGTCAAGTAAATTATTATTGCTCTGCCAGTTACAACAAATGTTAATATGCTAATTTTTACCAGATCAATAATTGCCTACCCAATAAATGAGATCATATCATCTATGGAAAAAGACTTACCGAACTCTTATGTTTTTTTACTCAAATGATTCATATCCAATATCCAAATTTCCTCCGGACTCTTAAATGGTAAAAGGCCTTTTAATATGTAAGTAACACCATAATGATTACTTGGAAAATCAATTAATGGATGAAATCAAAGAAACCTACTGTATCATTTGCTTTTTTATCTATAGTCGACATTTCTACTATTACATCTGCTATATCTGCATCTACTACCTCGTCGACATTGTCCTGTCATTGGAAGATTTCTATTAAATTGTTTGAAAAAAAAATTTTTAATAATTTAGTATGATCAATTCAAAGTCTTAAAGTTAGCGCCTACTGACTAATATTAAAATCATTCTAATATTGAACCTCAACTGTCATTAAACTCCTGACTCGTTTCGATCGTAAAAATTTTTCATCGCCTACGATTGATTGATATTTCTCTTTACAGCGCTTACCATCATAGTTTTTTTGAATTAAGGTGAATTGGTTTTTATCCTCTTTAATTATTTGAAATATTAACAAATAAAAAAGAAATTCTAGACAATTAAATAAAAAGGATTATAAAAAAAATTTTCAATAGATCTCATGCTTCCCAAAAAATTGTGTTTAACAACGCTTTTACACTAAAATGCTTTTTGAAAACTTATATATAATTTTTGTTGTGCCAACCCAATTCTGTTTTGTCTATTTTTTAAAAAAATAACAATAAAATTCACAAGAAAACGAGTTATTCATTGATATGTATAATATACTATATATTAAGATTTATTATTTTCTACATCAACAAAATTTTTAAGATTTGTATTTTTCTCTATAATTCCAAACAATCCTGCTGTGTTCTTTCTAGCTTCCTAACATCTCAACATGTTTCAATATATATATATATATTATATATGTACAATTATCTTAATTCAATAATTCATTTGCTTCATTGAAATTCCAGTTCTTATTTTTATATCGTGCAATAATAGTAATAGCCTCATTCTTTTTCGTAGATATCAACGATTTATTCGGTAAATAGCATTTAGATGATCAAACACTTTTTCTGGATCACTGTATATATATATAATTGAATTTTTCTTAAACCTGTACTGTTCCCTTAGAACCATTTAACCATTTTCTGCATTAGAGCCTTTTTTTTTTGCGTCTTCATTTTGGTGAAAATCAACTAATTCACATTTATCTATCCATATATTACAGAAAAACGAATTGTTAAAATTATTACATAAATCTAATGAATTTACATGTATATTGGTATATCTATCACAGAAACAGCAGGTTTTTGTAATAATAATAATAATAATAATAATAATATAGTTTATAAAGTCGCGGGAACATCTAATGGTGATAAATACGCACGATATGTCTCCAAAAACACAAACTGGAAAATCGAAATAAAAAAATCTAATATTTCAAAAGAAGTGATCATATTATAAAGCAAAGAATTAACTTTTTTTTCAAATTTTAATCGAATTTAAATATTGTAGATGTTTGCAGATTTTTATTATTTTTTGGGAAAAGATTTTTTTTAAGTTTTTACTACTCGGCCTTGGATTGTTGCGAGCAAGATTTGTTGTGTGCGTTACTGCTTCTTTTGAATCTCTTGCATCTTGAAATCTTTTATTTGGGTTTTTGATCACTCATTACCTAGAGTGAGTGCCATTAGAGGCAAATTTTCATATAGAGTTCTAGTCAAAATCCAAAATTCTGTAGAAGCTTTAAAAGAAAAGGTTGCATAAATTTGTCTGTCGTATTCGATTTCTTATCTTGTATAAAGAGATGGAACTTATTAGTTATCATGTAATTCATTGCTCAAAATAAATACTTTTTTAAGATTCGGTTTATAAACCGTCAGTTTGGCTAATGAACCGTGATCTGAACCGAGGTTTTATGTAATAGTTATTCCCTGTGTAGCAGGGAATAACTGATTTATTTCCTGGATCTCAAAAAAAATGTCAGGATCGATGCGACTAAAATAAACTTTTTTAATAAACTTTGTAAACATTTCTAAT